TCCTCTTAACAAAGAGCACGTGGCAGGGTCTTTTTTCCAGAGATTAAAAATTTGCCCTTGCTCCACCATACTGAAAGGTTCTCTTAACTAGATATAGTGTAAATTAGGCCAAAAACTGTGGAATAAAAGGATCTGTTTATGAGAACCTCATTAGCTGTTAACATTAACATTTCTGCCATTTCTCTCTAATTTGTCAAGGTTTATACTCCATAGGAGCAATAAAGGGATACATATCAGTGAGACAGAGTTCAATTCATACGTCTTTTCTCCGAAATCCCATCTCTAAAAAGTGCAGAGTACTTACCTGAGAGGCTTTATCAGGCTAATAGGTGTACTCCAAAATGGGTTAGATTACCTGGTAGGTGACATTTAAGAATGTCCTTACCTTCCAAAAGAACTTCTCTTTCTAAACAGTTTTCCCGTGTATGATTTCTAGCAAATTTCAGCATCTCATTTTGCTGTCCTGCTACCTACCAGACAGAAATGAGGTCGTCCATACAAATGCCATTTTACAGAAAGCCATCATCTTGTAAGTTATGCAGAATCACCCTGTCTTCCAACATCTCTGGGACAGGTGACTGCACACTAAGTGACAAAAACAGCATTGCACTCGTCTTTGAAATAGCTAGGTTATTTATTTTCAGCTTCATAAATTTTTTAGAAGTTAGACATCTTCAAGATTAATAATATTCACTCATCTTAAAGATTTAATTTCAGAAGAGGTGAATGTTCAATACTAATCTCCTCTTTAGACACCTTGATTCATTTGGTTGACATTTATCAAATAGCTCCAATGTTTCAAGCCTGATGTAAAAGGTTAAGGGAAGGTCTTCTGAATCTCTACCTCTCTTAGGAATCATGTAATTCTTCTTAAAGACCAGATGTGCCCAACAGCTGAGTACTTGGCCACTGGTATCTGTATACAAAGCTAGAAGAGAAAATAAAATTCCAGGGATGCTGAAAAATCCTATTTTAGTCTTTTCGACCGACATTCTTACCAAACTAGTTACTAGTAGCTAAATTGACTGAGTTTTTCATTCTTCTCCTTCATTCTTTTCCCTTTATTTGAAATATAATGTCTCAAAGATGAAAAGCAAGTTTAGGTTCAAAAGTTCTAGGAAAACATAGATAAGTGGCCACCATACATTCATGTATTGACGATACTTTGCTGCAAAATTGATCTTTATTGTAATCATACAGAAGCTTGTATAGTTCTGAAAGCCTAGATGGTTTTAAAGGAACTTTGTGGTCACCATCAGCTTCATTCGGTCATTAAAAAAATAACAGGCTCCCATTGCATGCTGAGAAGTGTGTTAGATGGTGGAGAAGAGACTGCAGAGGAATAACACGCAGTCCCTGTTTACGAGAGTGTACCAGGAAGTGTTTTAAGTATTACATTAGAGGAATGAACCTCTTGTTAACGTAGAAAAAGACAGTAGCCAAGCGGCTGGGTGCCAGGGGTGGGGGGAGCCTGCAAGGGGACCTTACGGAACGGATTACTTTTCAGGGGGATCCCAAATTATGAGTTAGATTAGTCAGGCACCCCCAGTGAAGAGCAATTCCAGGAGGGAGAAGACATGTGCAGATGTGTGTGAAGTTGTGCAGATGGTGCCACATTCAGAGAAATGTGACTGGGTTGCAAATGGCCCAGTGTGGGGAGGAGGCAGGTGTGGCACATAGATCAAGTCAGAGAGGGTCTGCCAGGTTTTGGAAATCCGAGAGACTCTGAGAGGGAAGGGACAATGGTCATACTTGTTCTTCAGAAAGGTCCTTTCGGCAGAGCTGTAACGGAAGTTGTGAACAGGAATGAGACGGAGGCCAGGGAAACCTAGAGAATAGTCCAGAGAAATGGTGAGTGCTCCGGCCTTATCAGAGAGAGGCGGGGACAGTTTGGTGGCCTCTGGAGGTGAACGGCAGGGGAGGATAAAGGATGTGTCCAGATTCCAAGTCGGAACAGTAAATGAACGTGTGATACTGTTCATCAGGGACACAGGATTATATGAACAGTTCTGGTATTGGAGGCCTTTGGGTTCAGTTTCGATGGGGCTGGATTCTGAGGTACCTCTGGGAAGTTCGAGGTGCAGATGTCAAGGATGGAGCTTGAAGTTCAGATCTGGACTGAAGATTTGGGAGTTGCCATTAATTTATCTTCTGCTTTGGTGGCAATACCCAGTCATTATAGTCTGAGGCAGTTATTGATTACTCAGCTGCGTTCTGTTTCCATTATTTGGTTTTCTTTGTTATTGCTCTCCATCACGAGAACAACTTTTACTTTCCAAAGACCTCTGTTTTCAAGGTAAGGGACCCAAAAATGCCTTGTGCTACCATCAGGGTTCCCTAGAACAGTTGAAACATTTCTGTAAATTTTTTTTCCAGCACTAATCTAGATCATCATGATCTTTGGTAGCTTTATTGTAAGACTTTACTTCTGCTTTTGTTAAAGAAATTATAATATCAGACTTTGAAAAAATTCCTGGTTATGGTCATTAAAACCAACTTTATTATTCTTATCCATCCACTTAGAGTATACAAGAAATAATTAGAATCAGTGTTTCTCAAACAAATAATTTCCTGGTTTTTTTTAACCAACTTACATTACCTAAAACTCCACAGAGAACCCATTCTCCTCCAATCTGCCCTTCTTATAGCTTCATGTGAGTCCATTCTTGTCTCTACCGCGCACACACACACACACACACACACACACACACACACACACACACTCACACACACACACTCACTCACTCACTCACTAATCCATGATGTCTTTTTAATTGTGCACAGTCACAAATCTCGAGCAATCCAGGGTAGCCATTGTGTGTTAAAACCTACATCACTGAAGTAGTGGTAACACGTGGCATTGATCAATCTTGTTAACATTGACTCACTTGGAAGAAAGAAAACCACTTCTCGCCAACTTGGCCAAAGGGAAATCTTTTTCTTGAATCTTCTTCTGCTGTATCTAATTCTCATTTTTTGGACCGCCTTAGCTAGCTGCTTCGACTGTTGTAATGCATATGAGTGACACATGTAATAGATGATTCGTTTGTTTGATGTAGGATTCTTAATTGAAAGCAGGTTTTCAATACCACAAGCAAAGAAAAAGTATTTGAAATGAGAAATAATCATGTGTGTTTGTTAACTTTTGGGGGACTAAGACTTTTTGTGCCTTTTTTTAATTAAATGAAAATCGAGATCAAGTTATAAATCCTTGGAAGAACAGGGGTTTATAATTGAAACTAAAGCAAATTGCTTGCCAAAAACAGTGTAAATAGATGGTTTTACTTTCGTCATGCATTTTTGACTGAGTGATTTTAACTAAACAGTTTGTAGGAGGTTTGCCATATAGAGAGTACCATTTTCTTCTAACCCTGAAATACTAAGTTATTATCTTTGGGGGCCAGGCTGAGGGATTGAAGAGCTTTTGAAAAATCCAGAAATAATTATTTCTAAAACATATTTGACATAGAATAGATTTGAACTAATACGCTGATTTTTTTTTCTTTTTTTTTTTGTATTAATTTTCAGATAGCAAAATTACTCAATGGGAAGACCCAAGACTGCAGAACCCAGCTATTACTGGTCCGGTCAGTATTTTCAAGTTTGGACTCTTCAGTATAATATTTTGGTTGCATCTAAACACACATTTCTTGTGTATTCCTGCCCACCTCGGGGGTCACTGAGAGCCTGGTGTCGTCGGGTAGTTTAACATTACTCCCGTCTCCTCCTTCCCGAACTTCGGGTGCGATACAGCTGTATTTGCCTTTTCACAGGGCTTTCATTATGAAGGAAGAGAAAATGGTTTGCTAAGGGTAGCAAACCTGCACCTTTGTTTTTCTCCCTTCATAAAAGGGTGGATTACAAGAGTTAACAGTCCAAATGTCCTCTCTCCCTTTTTATGTGAGACAAAGCCAGCCCTATATGTGTAGAGTTTTATCATTTCTTCAAGCCAAGGGTAGTTAATGCATGCTAACAAATTTAAGCTGTATACTGAATCTCTTCCAGCAGGAAGTATCTGTAAAAGTGGGGGGTGTTTGTCACTAACCCCTGGAGCTGGCAGAGTTAAGCATCTTTATCTCTGCTGACCCTCTAACTTTCTCCTAGTCCCTTCGTATATGCCAGGTAGGTAAAGAGCCAGCTCTGCCCTAGGTCTGGTGCCCTCCTAAAATACTGCTGTGCACGTGTGTTCATAAGGAGGAGGGGGACCCGCAGCCGGCCGTACAGACACCTGGTATCGAACACTTGGGAGGAGTTTGTAGGACGGGGCCATTCTCATGGGCAGGGAGAACACCAGCGTTTTCCGTCATTGGTGAAATGAGTGCGTGGAGATCATTTGGAATTACAGGAAATGGACTGGGATCACAGAGGATTGTGAATTGGGGATTCTATTAAAACCTGGAGAAGCAAAAGGAACTAACGTTTATTATGTTCAGTGCTGACCTAAGAGGCCAGTAGGTATATTTAAAATACTAATTTCATGGCTTTCGTCTGATTCGGTTCAAGTTATGTTTTATATTATAAAGATGAGTCCATTTGAAAACTTAAGTGATGTAATACAAATGCACCTCGGTACTTGGCATCCCTTGAGTTATCTTGGATCTGTTCATTCGATTTGCTCAGCCGCTTTGCTACAGTTTAGAGAGCCCAGTAAGACCTGGGTGAGAACAGTCAACTACTTTTTCTCTATGTAGCTTAATAAATACTTGCCTTCATACTGAGGCTTTCTTTAGATATAGTGACAGTCACAAAAAGTTGTTAGAATAGCATTTTCTCTTCTCCATCATAAGAAACAGGTACATTCAGGAAATGATACTGTTTTCAACTGGCAGAGGACTTTTGACTTGATAATTCTGAAGCTTTTTCAAATATTTTTATGACTGATCATCTACTTTCACTCAAGCACTTAATCTTACTAATTACAATTGAAAATTAGCATCATAAATCCAGATAGATTTTGCCCCCAAGAAGGATCTCTATTTCTTTGCTTTCTAAGAGCTTTCTTTACTCTTTTATTATTACTAGTGATGTGTCTTTCAATAAGAGTATGTGTATTTAGGAAATTATCAATAGTGTAGACATCTGGCCTTGTTGTCATTCAATTCTAAATATTTGATAATTTCTATAATGATTTCTCTCCTTATAAGTTTTTTAGAATGTGCGTTTTACTTTCTAAGACTGAGAGAATTTTTGCCTATCCACTTCTTATTGATTTCTAATTTTATTACATCGTGGTCAGGGAATATTGTCTATGGAATATTGATTATCAGACATTTGAAACTTCTTTGGAGGCTTGCCCAATTTTTGTAAATGTTCTTTTTTTGTTTGAAAAGAATGTATATTGTCTTTTTGGGGTGTAGAAGAGTTCTTTACATGTTCACTAGATCAAGCCTGTGATGCTCAAATTAATCCATTTCCTTTTCTACTTTTTCCTGGCTGTTTTATCTAACCAAGACAGTATGTCAAACTCCCACGATCTCTACGTTCACTTTCTCTTCGTTATTATTTGCCTAGGATTATCTTCTCTGTCTCTTAACTCACTGTGTGTTTTTTTTCCCTTAACCTTCTATTAGATTGCCAGAACACTCTTTATTTTCCTTCATTTTCTGTACTTGCTCGGAAGTGGTATTTTCTATTTCTTTTAGGGCTCACATTAAAAATTTCAACCAACATACTTGACTTAATGTCAAAATTAATCATTCTACTCTTCTCCTGAATAATATAGGACTTTAGACCATTTTAATTCCATTCTTCCCGTTCCCATTGTTCAGTGAAGTTTTAAAACTACTCCATCTTTAAACTTTCCAAACTGTCATTAGTATCTTTTTTCCGACAGTATATGCTTACTAAATTTTACTTATATATAAACAAATTTCTTTGCCCACCACCATTTCTTGCATCTCCTTTTTTTTCTGTTAAGTTTTTTCTTAATGACGTATAACCTCTAATTCATAGTTCTCAAAGTGTAGTCTACAGATCAGCAGCTCCAGTATCATCCAGAAACTTGTTAGAAATGCACATTTTGGGTCCCCTCCAAGACCTACTGAAAACCAGCAACTTTGGGAGTGGGCGCAGCAATCTGTGTTTTAACAAACCCTCCCAGAGATGTTGATGCCCGCCCTTCTGAGAAGCAGGGATGTTGATGGCCGCCCGCCCGCCCTTCTGAGAACCTCTGCTCTAGCAGCAATTTCTGTGTGAGCCTGACTGGAAAACTCATCTCGTCTGAGGGGACTTGTGTGACCACTCATCGTGGAATTCTTGGTTAACAGTCATTTTTCTTTGGTACTTTGGAGAGATCCTCTCCTATCTTCTGGTCTCTCTAACTGGTGATGAGAAACTTGTTGTCAATCTAATTATCTTTTCTTGTATGTGTTGATAACTCTTTTCTTTGGTGCTTTTGAAGTTTTCTCTGTGTCTTCGATGTTCTGCAATTTCAGTATCACGTATCGTAAGTGTGGATTTCTTTTTATTCTGCTTTGGACTCATTGCGATTCTTCAGTGTGGAGATTGTGTCTTTGCTTCGTTCTGGAAAATTCTCAGCAGTTATTTCTGTACATATTGTATTTTTTTATTATTATTTCTATTAGTAACTTCTATTGGGTAATTGGTTAACTCATATCTACCTCTTAGTTTTCATATTTTCTATCTCTCTCTGCTGTATCATGGACTCAGCTCTTCTAGTTAATTCTTATACTTTTTATAATCTACTCTTTATCAGTTCATTCTATTATTTCAGTGACTATGTTTAATTGTTCGAAGTTCTATTTGGTCTTTTAAAATTTGCTTGGTCTTTTTAGCTGTTCGTTTTCTGTCCTGTTCTTTCCTTTTATTTATTTATTTTTTTAATTTATACTTCCAACTCTTTAATCATTCTTAGAATAGCCTCTTTCATAGCCTTTTTCAGATTATTCTGTTCTCTCTGGTCTCAGGCACGTAATACCTTCCCCTTGTTATATCTGTAGACTCTCCTCAATGGTAGTTTATTGCCTAGTTCAGTTTGTAATTTGTGTGTGTGTGCTCATCTTCATTTTTTTTTTCCTATGGGGCTTTTATAAATTCTGACCTGTATTTGCTGTTAACTACTTAGATTGGGTTCATTCACCCCCAATTAGTGTAACTATAGATCTCATACCCACTTTGGTGTAGGCTTGGAGTATGAATTTCTTACAGGTCTGTTTCTTTTTCTTTTTCTTCCATTTATGGTCCTGGACAGAAGGTAAGCTTCCTTGCAACTTTCCTGGGCCAGTGGGTAGAGTTTTTTTGTCCCCTTTTCAGATGTAAGTTTTAAGCAGGGGACTCTGTTCTGGCTCCCTCGGTCATACAGACTGGCAGCCAAGTTCTGTGCCCCCATGCGAGGATTAAAACTCAAGCCCAAACACCTATGTCTAGGTCCAGCGCCCACTTATCTCTCTATTTTTGAGTCTTTCTGCCTATCTGGTACCTAGAGTTTCTCTTTTCCCAAGTTTTAAAAAAAATAGCTACGTATTAGGGGAGAGGGGACCCTTTCTGTGTCCGCCCATCACAGCATCACTCTAAGTCACTGTGCTCTCTGTGTAACAAACGTCACCATTAAAAGCATTTGTAAAGTGCTCTCCATGCTTGCCGCTCTTGTGAATACTGTCTCATGCTTGTGTAACGCTTTGTACTTTTCCAAGAACTTTATAATCATCTGATTTGAAACCCTCAGCAATCCCCTCAGGAAGGTAGGAAAGATGTTATTATTCCCAATCTGTCAAAAGATCAGAAAGCTAATTGTGTTGCCAAAACTTCCAGCAAATATCAGAATCAAGACCAGAGCCCTCCGTGTGTGCTGGCCTCACCGGTGTCTCCGCGTCAGGCATGAGTCCTTCTCTCAAAAGAGCTCCAGAATCAACAGGACAGTGACGCCATGAAAACATTTAGAACCAACTTACACAATAAGTCAGCTTTTCATTTTGTTCAAAAAAGAAAGCATATTTGAATTCAGAGCAAAAGGGCTTTAATCAACAGACATGTTAATTTTTTAAATGGGCTTGTTTTACAAGTTAAATTGTATGTAAGAAAGTAAGTTGTCAGATTTTCAAGAGAAAATAAATAACTTGGCCAATACAAGAAATACACTGTACACGCAATTCTGTTCAGAGGCTGCATTGGTGGATGTCTTCGTCCTGTTACGTTGTTGAAATCTTTTCAGGAGGAGAATATAAAAACCGACTCTTCTTATTCCATCATAAGAACTACCTCTAGAGTGAAAAGATAAGTACTGGACGAGGATAATGATTTTTCAACATTCATGCATCATTCCACAGAAGAAGAAAGACCAGAAATATCTCAGCATCTGGTTTCCACCCACATCTAGTCAGCACCTACCAGGTTTTAAGTCAGACAAGGGAATGGATATCTCAGGCTGGGGGGGGTAACATTTTGAAATATATTGCATGGGAAATTTGTCATTTAAGCCTATTGAACTTGCATTCCCAATGATGAATGTTTAAGTCTTTTTCAGCATTTTCAGGGAGGAAACAAACAAACAAAATAATAATTGCTGGGAATCATAGCTTTTTAGGAATGGAAGTACCTTAAAGTTCGTTTAGTCAAATCCTTCTGCTTAACTGTATCTTGGAGAGGTTATTTCATAGAGCTAGCTGGCAATAGAATCGATTCTAGAAGTCAGATATCCTAAGGCTGGCATGCAATAATGAAAGGAAGTAACTTTTTTTTAGCTTAATTCCCCTTTATCACAGTTCATCCCAGGTAAGAACATCAGCCGAACATTTTCCCTTCTAAAGAACTTGTACTCGCTGTTCCTGTCATAATTTGTTCCCTCCTGTCACTCTGGGATAGCCCTTTCTCAGAGCTGCCTGCCCTGCCCACCTCATGCAGATAGCCTCCCGGGAACTCTGTTAACCACTGTATGTTCCTTTATTTTTTATTGCCTATTACTCACAGTAGTTTGTAAGCTCCAGGAGAGAATAAGGAAAGAACTCTTTGGAAGTCCTATTATTTCCCTACCGCCTGAAATGCCTGGCACAGAGTACGTGCTCAAGAAATACCTGAATCAGCAAATGAACCACCAAAGAATAAATAAACTAGATAGAAAATTCTAGTTATGGGATATAGTATTATTGGTAAAGCAAAAAAACATAACTTATTAGCTTATGTCAGAACATTCATCGTATCCTTTTCCTTATTTTGATGGTTGTCCAGATATTGACAAAATGTTTACCTCTTCTAGAATCCGAATTCATACATTATTTCATCAGACTAAACTCTGTCCAGAATAGATATGCTGTGTGGTCAAATCTAGTGTTTAGTGGAAAAGCAAATAAAGATTGACTTAAAAATCTAAGTATAAATTATCTTTAGAATGTTAAGAGTGGTTATTTGTTTTTGTTTTGGCTTAGTTAATTATGCGAACATGTCTTAAAACAGTATAAAAAAAAAACAGTGCAAAGGAGGGAAGCTTCGTTTGCATTTCTCCTCTTTCTGGTCAGGAATAAGTGTGGTGAAGGTGTAAGATTTGGAGTCTGGAGACACTTCACTAAGAATCAGTGTATTTTACTAACTTAACCCAAAATGATATCAACAGAACTATTCTTACTCACATTTACACTATGCACTAAAAAGCAATGTGTTGTTCTGAGTGTGAGGTTCTCACAGTTATGTCCATGTATATACAAAAGCCAGCTCTTTCTGCTTCATAAGTAAATTGTAAGCCTGAAGTTAGAGCTCTGGCATTCAGATATTGTTAAGCTACTTTATAACATAGCAAGGAAAGAATATAAAATGACTACATTAAAATGTTATTATTTTGCCTAAACTGATTCCGGAACTTTTGAGTAATAATAGTTAGCTCAGTCACTACTTCATAGATAAGACATTCTAGATTTTTCAAAAATCCTTACCTGAGACTATTAAATAGTAAAGGGCATACCTTCTGACTCCTAAATGGAAAACTTTTCCAGAATGCTGTCTACCTGATTTTATTCCTTGACTAGAGTATCAGTTCACTTGCCTTTCTGCTCATTATATTTCCTCCTAAAGATTTTTAAAAGCATGATTAGTCTTTTCAGAATGACAGTTTAGGTCATTTGGGGTTGTGCGTTAAAGTATCACATAGCCAATAACTTTTATCTCAACTACAGCAAAAAATTTTAAAAATTAAAAAAATTACACCCTGACTAGAAAGTGTATTTAGTTTATGTAGCATATCCCTAAATGATTTCTTGAATATCAGTATAGTTGTTTTCAGGGATGAAAGCCCCCATTCAATCTTGAATAGCCTTAATCATTTCTAGAACTTTCCCATATGCTCTGTAGACATTATATACATTTCAATGATAAGATGGAGTGTGAGAATTTTAAGGTTTATGATTCATAAAATTCTCAGAATGTTGGCTCAGTATATATAACATTTCAAGCATATTGTTTACATTTATAAATTTATCTTCTAGGCTGTTCCTTACTCCAGAGAATTTAAGCAGAAATATGACTACTTTAGGAAGAAATTAAAGAAACCTGTGAGTAACATGTCTTGTAAAAATGCTGTTTTAGTCCTTTGTAAGTTACCAGAGTTACTTGAGTGAGAACGTGTTTGTTACTTTTATATGTATACTAAAAATATTACCTTCCTTTTTTCATTACACTTTGATCCTCCCGGATCTTCAATCTGAATTTTCTTTTTAACAGAAGTGGTAAGTGGAGACTAACTCGTATTGCATATCAAATCACCTGCCGGGTAATTTCTTATGTAATACATAAAAAGATAGAAATGATTTTTATGGGATATAAAATAATTCAGGACCTAGTCAAAAAATCTGGAGAAGCCTATGCAAGCAATTAATTATGGTTACCATATTTAATAAAACCTAGATCCTAGTTAGAAAAGTGTTCAAGTCCTGCCCTTTAAGATCAAAAGAAAATTTTTAATTATATTCATAACAAATATAATTTATAATATTTGTCATATTAAGACCAAGTTTAATTTTCATATTAAAATTCTCACTGGGAAACCCTGTAAGGTTTTTAAAGGCTGTGTTTTAAATGACAGTATTTTCTACTGACGCATCTCCCGCATTTTTCAACATTATGTCTTCTGTTTTACTTTTAGATTTTACCTCTTCGCTAGAGGTTTTTCCCACATTCTCCTCCGTTTGTGCATTCACTGGTTTTGTTTTTGTTTGTTTGTTTGTTTGTTTGTTTGCAGGGCGGTGGGGGGGGTTGCACCAGTCTCTGTTTCCTGGTTTCTTCCCGTTGGGGGAAGGAGAATGTCTGCCCCGACTCAGATCATCCCAGGTTGCCTGTGCTCCGTCACCGTCTCTCTCTGCTCCTTTCCCTCAGTGGAGGCTTCATTTTCTGGGCATCTGCTGTGGGTGAGGCACAGGGGAGGCAAAGATGCAGGAGACGTGGTCTCTGCCTGGGGAGCCCCCACCTAGGGGCTCTGTTCTCTCTTCCAACACCCTGATTTCAGTAGCTCTGAGATGCCGGCTTCTGAAATGACTCAAATTTGAACACATACAATCCCACACTGTTTCTTTGTGAGTCACCTGCGTTTCCACCAGAAATAAGTGTCGACTTTGTGGGTGCCACCCTGTCTCACGCTGGCACTTTCACTGAGTATCATCTGCCTGGAAACTGACTCCGTAAGTCCATTTTCATAGCAAAGCTGCCCCTGGCCCTCACATCTCCAGGAAGCAATTATTCCTGGCTTCAGTCAAGTGCTTTTCTATTTTCATGTGTATGAACTGTAGCCTTTGGGGGTGATTTCACAGCTTGGCATGATAATCAGGGTTCCACTTCCCATGGCAACAGAATAGCTTGTAGGCATCATGTATCACATCGTCTATCTGGAAGCCCTATTGGTGTGAAGAATGCCCCACCCTGCCCAGGGAGGGAAAGTTTAAGGGTTTATATTACCTGGACAAAAGACTCTTTCTTTGACAGAAACAATGTATAGTGTTGACCATATTTCAGTTGCTAGTGGATGGATGAGTGTCTCACAATGGTTTTTAAAAGGGGGAGAGAGCATGGCTGCCTTCCGCTCAGCAGATTGTCCTGCAGCATATGTTGCTGGCTCAGGCTGACAGCTGCTGGTGGATGCTGGATGTGTCTCATCCTGACATCGTGAGGCTTTCCATCTGTGAAGAAAAATCCGTAAAGGAGAGAACCTCAGTTGGAGCCATTCGTCACTGCTTATTTATTTGAAGACTGCCGTTATTTCTGTTCTGTGTTGTTTTTTTTTTTCTTTTAGGAAGTAACGTGTATATTGTATGATTGTATGTTTTCTTTTTCTTTTGTGTAGGCTGATATTCCAAATAGGTTTGAAATGAAACTTCACAGAAATAACATTTTTGAAGAGTCCTATCGGAGAATCATGTCTGTGAAAAGACCAGATGTCCTAAAAGCTAGACTGTGGATTGAATTCGAATCAGAGAAAGGTCTTGACTATGGGGGCGTGGCCAGAGAATGGTTCTTCTTGCTGTCCAAAGAGATGTTCAACCCCTACTACGGTCTCTTTGAGTACTCTGCAACGTAAGTCACGTGGCATGCACTCAGAATGTGTCCCCACAGAAACAGCTTTAGTCTTGACGAATTTAAAGGCATTGAGAGAATAAGCAGCTCAGGCATTTGAAATGAGTTAACACTGTTAATTTCAGTGTCTTTACGATGAGGTAAATCCATCTCAACCACATCTCAAGCTTCTTTCTTTTTTTAAGTCTCTGTGTTTTGCCTCTTTGAAGGAAATTCCACATATCTTTTTTTACGACTATAAAATCTAATTTTCAGAAACAAAATGCATTAGAACTTGAATCTCTCTGTAATCTCGATGGACATACCCTGTCGTTTCTGTTAACATAATTTCTTGACAAATGAATAGCAGGTGAAAAACGTTCCTCCTCTCCATCGTGGCTAAATGTATGCAGAATAGTTAAAACTCATAAATAACCATAAAATGTTTGGCTTTTAATGATAACATCTTTAAATGTATAACATCACCACCACCCTTTAAAAATCTAGAACAGGTTCCGACTCTACCTGGGGAGGTAATATAGTCTGTGAACACCTAAAAAGGATTGTTCTCTTGTCTGCTGGGTTCATGTGATTGAAATTGAAAATGTGCTGGGTACTTATGGTAAGGAACAAGAGGCAATTTTCATTTGTCATGTTAATTCAAAAGAATTTGTCAATGTCAGAATTCAGAAAGTCGTCGTCGTCATCATCGTCTTATGAACAAAAATAGTTTCCGAAGTTACACTAGTCACAGGCAAATTATGACAACTTCGAGGACCATTCTTCAGTGCCCCGAGGGCCCCGCCCTGGTCCTGTAGGGGAAGAAGCAGACCACACCCCTTCCCCCTTGCACAAGGATTTCATCATTGCCAGGCATGGAAACTAGAACATATTTATTCAAGCTGCTTTCTCAGGATTCAAACATTGGCTGCTTACAAGGCCACCCTTTTCTCCTTCAGGCTGTGGATCCTCCAAAGGCTCAGGCTGGGCCTGAGTCCCCAATAGAATGGTTGTTGACCTTGATGAAAAGCAGCCTGTGCTCTCAGGGGACTTGAGTCTCCCACACCTTCCACCTGGTGCGAAGCTCCTGGGGGTTCCTCAGTATCCTGCCCCATTGTGCTAGCCAAGAATTGCCTAGCTTGTCTGTCATGGTCATTACCAAGTCCCATAAGAAAGCCGGCTGTATAAAGCTGAGAGAAACCATTGAAGTGGCGGGCAGGGTAGGAAGGCAGGATCCTCGCTTCTTACCTGCATTCCCATACATCCCCCAGAGGACTCCGTCTGTGGAGCCTAATTTGAAAACTGCTGATCCTTGTGGTTTTGAGACCGAAGAAGGGAGATTAGGTACATGCGAACATTGCATTTTGCATTGCGGTTTGCATTGTCGGGGCAGGTGTATGCTGCTCCCTGTGGCCTTGGGGCCTCTAGGGCAGAGTGGCATTCAAACCAAAAGCTCAGCCCATGGTAAAAATCTTAACCCTCAAACCAAAAGCCCATCAAAGGAGCAAAGCCTCCCCTTCACAGAGACGACCTGAAGTATTCACGGCCTCACAGTCTGGGCACAGTCCCTTTGTCATGTGGGATTTCTCATCTTCCCAAAATATCTGGTCGAACTATATGAAATCAACATTTTCGTAGATCATAAATAGTCAAATATCGACAGTTTCTTATGGTTTAACTTACATAAGGCGTGTGCACCAGCTCTGTGAGGCCCCCCGTCGCTGGTCACAGAAAGGGGGTAACTAAACGGTAAGTCACGTCAGCTTATGTATGCCCTTCCGCATCAAATGCAAGTGTGCTGTAAAAGCTTAATGACGATAGCAAAGGCGAATTCAGATTCCTGTGCTTCTTCCTTAAAAATATGATCGGGCATTTTCTCCCTCTTCCTCCCCAAAGGGACAACTACACACTTCAGATCAATCCCAATTCGGGCCTCTGTAATGAAGATCATTTGTCCTATTTCACTTTTATTGGAAGAGTTGCTGGTCTGGCAGTATTTCATGGGAAACTTTTAGATGGTAAGTTTATTAAAATAATCTTAAAGTAATAAAAATAGCGGACAGTGCTCAGTGCTCTTTGTGGCTCCTTATTAGGTATCTTATCTTTTACATCATAGATTTTAAGCAAAAACTTTACTGGTTCTGAGTAATTCAATAATTTTTATGTAATAGAGGTGCTTCTCCCTGGTGTCATTTTAATTTGAGCATTGAAGACATAGTGTCTATACACAGTTTAAAAATTTTTGAATGAAAAACTTAGGTGCGAAGCACAGAACATTCTGTAATTGTGTATTTTGTTTTCCAGAATAACTTTTCTTTAGCGATAGCTAAATTTAGTGGCAGATGGAAAAGCTAATTGAAAAAAGTTAATTAAAATGATCTAATTCGTCCAATATCCTGCCTTTGTTTCATTTGTCCCCAAATTATTATTTTTTTTAATGAGAAGAGACTATAAATAATTTCAAAACTTGTTATAACACAGCTAAGACCTTGACCCTGAGGTCACTGCTGAAACAGATGGCACAAAATAACCTCATTCTTATTTTAGTCATGAAGAATTTCAAGGAACCTTGGAAGTTGGAAGAACTCAAACCTTCTCCGTAGCTCTATGTATAAGTCTTATAATAGAGACTCCTTATAGATTGATCATTTCAAAAGTACTGCCCTGAAGAGAACACTGTAGAAATCATCAGTGAGGAAGGAGAATCAGAAATATTTTTAAGGGTTTGGAGGTAGAATGGTTGAGGATGGACGAGAGAGAGTAAGATTGGAGTTTGATGTTACAGTCTGTAGAGAAAGATTTCCAGGGGAATTATATGTTACTTGCATCTATGGAACCTTAGCTATTCTAATCAATAATTGATGTACTCTCTGTACGTTGACGTTTAATATAGTTTCATTAGTAATTCTAGTTGATTTTGATCCTGTGACTTCAATATTTTATTTTTAGTGGGGTTTGAAATAAGCACTTATTTCTGATGAGAAAGAAACCGAACTCTTTCTGTACATGTATGTCGTGCGAATATATTTTAATCAAATTTGCAACCTTGGCGTCATGCCATAGGTTGTTTCTGCTGTTCAAAGTCACTTCAGCCTTTTCTCAGAAGGTCAGTTTATTTACCTTTCGAGAAGGTAAACAAGGCATTCTTATACTTGCTGTGGGAAACAGAGAAAAGTGTAAGATACGTCCTGACCTCGATAAATTTTAGTGGGGGCAAAACGAAAAGCAGGAGACCCACAGTGATGGGAGCAGAAGGGAACACGGCGAGGGCTCCGAGGAGACACGGATTTGTCTGGAGGGTGGAGAGCTCTTTGCTGGCGTTGGGCACACCATGCGGGCAGGGCAGGAACTGAGCATTTAGAAGCTGGGACCATTTCAGAAGAGCAAGGACTAGCCAAGTCAAGGCTCCGTGGAGGGAGCGATGGAGAGAAGCAGGAACAAATGGGGGCATCTCAGAGACGGCTGTAAAAGGTGATACCAGCGTACATCAGGAATTGCAAAACAGAGAGCCAGGATCCCACAGAGCGTGGTCAGCGGTATCTTCAGTTTCTTAAAAATGAGCGTGTCCCTGTGGGCTGGGCACAGATATTCCATATGTCAGCGCAGCCTCCTCCTCCACCTCCCTAGACACTGAAGGCGTCTGAGCCAGTTCGAGTGGCATTGCGCTGCAGAGGACTGGCGACTGATTGGATGGGGGGCGGCGTGGGGGAGGCCGAGGTGCCAGTGTCCCCAGTGAGGATGCGTGTGATGCTGACTTGCCTTTGCACAGGGTGGACTGGGGGTCCCTGTGGGACACCCGTGTGGTGGCGGGGTCGTCCTCACTGCCACTGCCCCAGCCAGGCCTTTATCAGCCCTGCCCTGGGAGATCGCACGGCCTCTGCGCGGTCTCCCTCAACTCCCTCTCGTCCTGTCTTTTCTCTCCGTTGCTGCACGCAGTGGAGCTGAAATGCAGATGGATGAGAAGAGACTGGTTTTTGCCTGGCCTTTCAGTGACTCCTGTCGCCCTCGGGCGGTAACCCAAACTCTCCGTGCAAGCTGCTCACTCCCCAGTGACTTCTCCGGCCTGTCCGCCCCGGGACACCCTGTGCTTCTGTCCCGACAAACCACTGGCGAGTCCCCATTTTGTCCCTCTGCTCGGAGTGCCCTCTCTTTCCTGTTTCTGTGCCTCGTCTGCACTGCAAAATCCTGCCGTCTTTACCACCCCGCCCCCACCCCCCCAAAAACAGACCTTCATCTACTTGGTCACAGGTTACTATATAAAAGGTCTCTGATTGTTCTCTCCTGGTGTCTCATTCAAACTGAAGGCAGGTTAATCTTTCATTTCTGATGCACAACAATATCAAAGACGTGAAACTAACGCAGTATTCATCATACTTTAGGTTTCTTCATTAGGCCATTTTACAAAATGATGCTGGGAAAGCAGATAACTCTGAACGACATGGAATCTGTGGTGAGTAGATACGGATCGCTCCCCTGGGCATCATGGGCCACCCGTGCCTTACGGAAAAGTAGCCATGACCATGTTGTCGTCACAGCAACGTTTACGGGTGTCATCATTCACTGTAAAGAATAGGGGACATTTAATTGTTCGAGAAGTTAATCGCTCTCCCTAATTTTTCTAAAAAGCAGACCTTCATTCACGTTAACTAGAAGCATGGTCCTTGGGTTGGACACACCCAATCTCATTGACCCCTGCGTAGCCAGAACTGCTGCGACCAAATCAAATCTAAGGGATATCTGGGGACCTCATTGCAGCCCTTGCTTTTCGTCAGAAACTGCTAATACTGAATGTTTAGAGATTCATCTGTTTTCTGACCTCAAAAAATGGCACGGCCACAAACCAAAATAGTAGATACAGGGATGAGTGTACAGTGTCATCGTCGATGTGGACGGGCGAGTGAGCACTACATGTGGAGAAGAATAAGACAAGTGAGGAAATGAATCCTGTGCGAAGTTTTCTAAAAAGCGATGTGGGTTTCCACGTTGCATTTAACTTATCTGCGCTGACCGTTTTAGAGCCGAAAGGATTTTCTATAAAAACAAAAATGGATGCTCTTTCCATAACCTATACCCCATCACCTACCTCTGAGCGTAGGGATGTTTGCCCAAGCCCCAGCGCGCTCACTCACAGGGCCCTCTAGAAGCATCTTCTTCCAGTGAAGTATTTGCAGCTCTGCTTTCACGTTCTGTCACTCACATCGGAGTGTCTGTATCCCCCCGGCCTTGCTGGGATGCAGACTGCGCCTCTAGTGTAGTTGGGCCATCTTCTCCCTATGGACCAGCGCTGATCGCTGCTTCTGCACATCAGAGGCGGACACTGGCAGTGCACTTGAACCCACTCGGCGGTTTCTCCGTGGGGAGGTTGCCAGACACATCCACCGTAGCAGTCTAAAACTTTGTTTAGCTTTCACCTTTAACTTCCGCTGTTATTATTGTATAATGATGAAGCTGGGAAAGCAGACGTTTAAAGTCAAAATTTTGTGCCACATGTTGACAGATGGTGCACACATTCTGTTTTGCCTTTTGAGAGCCTGTCAGGTCCCAGCACCAGAGTCCCTGAGGGGAGAGGAGGCCAGGCCCCCCATCTCATGTCGGAGCAGCCTCCCCGTTCGCTTACACTGACTTCCAGGGAGTAGTAAAAGCTCAGGACAGGGCATAACTTAAAACCACCGATATTTAGATAGAATGTTCTCCGTCCTTCCTGTTGGCCTCTGATGTGTTTATTCTTCAAAGATAGGGATTATATTAATCTCTACGTGTTCAATTTTATGATTTGGTGACCAGAGCAGGTTCCTTCTGGTACACCTCACAGAGGGCAGGATTCAACTACAAACCCCTGTTGCTACTAAAACATTTTTTCAGTTTATATTTTAAATTAAAGGGGAAGAGTCTATTAGTGATCAATGCAATTCTTGAGCACTGTGAATGAAATTTCATGAGAAGGATTTAATTATTTAAAGTCAAACGAGTTTGTATTTGGGGAGGAAAAGGGCTTAATTTTAATTTCTGTGTCATTACTGTAGGACAGTGAATATTACAACTCTCTGAAATGGATCCTAGAGAATGACCCTACTGAACTGGACCTCATGTTCTGTATCGATGAAGAAAACTTTGGACAGGTAGGTGTGGGGAAACCCAGGATCTCCTCTGACTGTCAAAGTGTCTTTGCTTCTTCACAGGTTATAACACGGTTTTGTCAGACAATTAAAAACAGCCACCAGTTTGCGTGTCTCTTCCTCAAGGAAGCCCACCTGACCCCAGACCGTAATACTTGAGAGTAGCTCCCGTGTGTCCCTGCGGCACACACCACAGGTGACTTTGCATCTGCTCGTCTGACTGTGTGTTTAGCATCTGCCTCTCCCACCAGGCTCAGTCATAGACAGCAGCGCTGGGGCCGCCTTTGCTCCCCATGGTGACCTCACCACCCGGCAGAGGGCCTGCTGCAGGGTAGGCGCTCAGAATAGTTGTGGAACCAACACTGTAGACGCCACCAAGATGCCTGTGCAAGGCCATCCCCTCTGTCGGCCCTCGGCAAAGTCGTTCACTGTGCGCTGCAGTTTATTCTAACCCAGGAGGAAGCCCACACCTCTCGTGCCAAAAGATATGACCATTTCTTTAATGGAGTGAAGTTACCCACAGAAGTGAAATGTCTATGCACTGGGCCTCAGTGCTTCAAGCTGGGTCTCCCAACCCGCCACCCCCGGCCCCGCTTCCACAAATAGAAATATCAGACCGTGAAGTCTGGTGGTAGCCGTCAGTTCATGCGATGGTACTGTACCTGGTTTTCTTAATGGTCGGTAAGAATCCGGAGCTGCTGGTTTCTGGGGCAGTGTTTCAAATGAATGTTTCAAATGAACACATGTCAGTGTATTTGAACGATCTCCATGTGCCAAGCAGAAAGAACAAACCACACACCCACGTGCTCACGTCCCACACAGGCGGCATGCACACGCTCCACCTGGAGGAGGCTCCCTTTCAGAGTGAGGCGAAGTAGAAATTCTTATTGCAAGTTTAGCAAAGCAGCATCTGGCTTGGTGGTTTCGAAGAGGCACCAGAAGTGTGGGCTTTTAAGAAGCCGTGCTGTAGGGCAGGGAAGAGAGTGGGCAGCAGCCCTGCGGGAGAATTCTTCAGGACCAGGCGTGAGTTGGCTCAAGGTAGACATTCTCAACTGGGCTGCTACTGTCCCTAAGGGGATAAAAATTGGTTCTTGGAGGACAAAAGGTCTCAGCCACGACAATGGTTTACGGCCTCCAAAAGGCCATAATTTACACCACAGTGTACTGTGGATCTGTTCATTAAGATTGCATGGGAAGAAAGGGGCAATTTGGCAAGGGGGAAGCTTAAGAAAGCTCTTTAGGGGATGTGAATGACAAAAGGCTGAGAAACACTAGGCTGGGGAAAGGGAATGTGCGAAAGGCAGAAACTGGAGGTAGGAGGAGAGAGAGGTGAGGGACAGAGCGAGGTCCTGGCAGGAGCTGGGAGGAACCAGTCCCAGAGCCAAAGTGGAGGTGGCTTTGGGAAGGGCAGAGGCCCCGGCTCCTCAGAGACCAGGTCAAGAAAGCAGACAGATGGCGACCACAGGAAACGTGGGGCCGACGCGTGGCTGCTCCGTAATCTGAGTACGGTCGCTCGCTTGGTGTCTGCCGGGGAGCTGAAGGGGGCGAGGGAGGCCTGGGCCCCTCAGAGCACCCCACGGCGTTTGTGGAGCGCCAGGAGTGGGAGAAGAGCCAACCCCGACTCCTCCTGAGGCCAGTGCCTTCGTGTGATCCAGACAGTGTCTCAGCGAGTCCTCAGACATCTGGCAGGTGGCATCTTGGAAAGGTTGGGGGGACGTGTGTGCAGCCAGCATTTTAGCTGTGAGAGTCACGTCGCCTCAGGTTGCTCTGAAGAGGATTAAGTTCACACTCGGGCCAGTGGACTGAAAGAAATAGGACTTTTTCCCCGCAAGGGCTGATTGCATGCCAGACACTGCGACTGTGTTCTTCCTGTCGGGTCTTGAAAGAGTTCACACACAAGGCAGGGCCGCTGCTGTCCGGGGAAGCCAGCGTCACCACGTAGGTGTGGAAGTGTAGTGGGGAACGGGGTGGGGGTGGCCGGAACCCCCAGCGGAGTGGATGAAGGATATGCTGCCGGGGAGCACACGCTTGGCTTCTAACTCTGGCTCCGTCCCCTTTTGCTTTGTACCCTCCATTGGCGTCCACCAGCCGGAGCCTCGGCCACCGCCTCTGGAGTACGATTGGTGTCAGGTGTGGGAACGGAGGGGCGGGACAGGCCCTCTGTTGGGCCTTTACTAGGACTGGACGAAGCCCGTTTCTGTCGCCCGGCCAGGCCGACAGCCCCCTGTGCCCCAGTGGCACACGCAGCACAGTCGCTGAGTGCATTTGGTCGCTCCCCGCCTGTGGCAGCGATGTCTGAAATTCGCCAGTGTGAAGTGTGTGTGTTGCGGCGGAGGGGTTGCGGGGTGGCGGATGGAGACACACAAACACAACAAGGTCAGGATGGATGGGCAGAGATGGAAGCTGGCCAGAGAAATTTATGTTCACAGAGTCAGGCTGATCTCATCGTAAGGGCTTTGCAGTCCGGCCACCTTGGGCTTGACCCTGGCTCTCTCCGCTTCCTGTCTGAGCCCCGCTCTCGGCGAGAGAATGGAGACAGTGGCTGGTGGGCTCAGTTCAGTGATGGCCTCTGTGATGAGCCTCACACCACACCTGGGCCACAGGAAGCGATCCGCATCCAGCCCCTGGAAGCCGGTTTAAAAAGTGGCATTCGAACAGCAGCCGTGACCTATGCACCAAAACGTCACCCGCGAGGAGCCCAAGCAGGAGGGAGCCTGCCAGGCTCCAAGGATTCACCCTCACACGGTGGCTTAGGGAACAGACGTGACAATCATCCTTCTCTGCCTGTCCTTGAGCCCTCTGTCACTGCCTCCCTCAGAAGCCCTAGGTCAGAATCAACCATGAAACTGGACCACCACCCCCGACCCGTGGCTGCTTGACCTCCTTACTTAGGATGGATACTGTGGTCCCTCCCCCCACTCCCCAAAAAAAGAAACAGTTTTATTTATCTAATTATGAAGTATTCATCTTTGTGGTAAAAATAAAACCAGTACAATAAAAATCACCTATCATTGCAACCACCAAGAGAAAAATCACGATTAAAATTTCAAATATATCTTCTGGAATTATTCTCTGTAAATACATGCATATAAGACTTTTTTTTTTTTTTTTTTTTTTTTACAGAAATGGGAGTGCAGTGCATAGTTTTAATATATCCTAGATACTTTCCCATGTCAGTAAATCTCAGTGTATACCGTTTTAATAGCTACACCGAATTCCGTTTCACTGACCATACACATTTTTAACCACGCCCTATTGGTAGTAGGCTTCTAGGCCATTTCAGTATTTCACTATAAACAATACAATGATTATAATCCTGGAATATATATTTTTTACACTTGACTAACTCTTTTTTTCCTTGGTATAAATTCTAAAAGAAATTATGGAAAGGGTTATGTGCATTACAACTCTGACACCTGTTGCCAAATTATCATCCAAAAAGGTTGAACCAATTAGACTCCCGACAGTATAGGCAAGAAGCATTTTTCACACTCAGAATCACTGGCTGGTTTTGTTCTTTTCATCAGTGGACGCTGCTTTCAAAGGTCCCAGGTGTTTTTCTCCTTCCCCTCCACACCCCATTTCATCTGTAGTTGAGCCTCTCGTTTAATAGCCCTCTGAAAATTACAACTCCCAAGAACTGGGCTTGGGTTTATTAACTTGTTTGGTGTGGATCTGCTAGAAAAATTCCATTACTGAAGGGAATAGCGAGACCATCTTTGAGGAGCAAGAAGTAGAAAGAAAAAAGAAAAACCTTCATGGGCTTATTTAAAAAATACTGCAAAACGTATAAATAAATAGTGTCCGCAAACCTCCAAGTAACTTTCAAAGAACCGAAAACATTTTACTGTAAGAAATTTTCCCACCCACTCCCTAAACAAGTATGTTTAACATCCTCAAGAATGGCCAGGAGAGGAGCGGAGAACCACGGAGGGAAACTGGATGAGATGGAAAGACAGCCGTGGAAAGGGGGAACGTGGTCGGAAAGGAAGGATTTGAAGAAAATTAAAAATACCGCGAATGATTAAGATTCATACTGGGAAAGTAAAGAGCTGAATTGACGTCGTAAGAACTAGAGTTCAGCCTTGTGGTGGAAGACCAGATCCTTCCCAAATAAAGAAGAAAAGGGAAAGATGTAAACACTTAAATGGACTCGATCCGTGTGCTTTGGTTAAAAAAAACTCTCGGCGTGAGTAGGAACAAGAATCGAGTGTATAATCGGAGCAAACCTTTGGAGAGAAACAGGACCTACGTTTTCAGATCAGAAAGGCCCGGTCTGTCCCCGGCTGTGTGTGGCAGTGGTGATGAGGATCACTGAACATAGGCCTCTCCCCAAACAAAAGATTTCATTACAGATTTGAAATCTTTTCATCCTTCATGATGGATGGAACCCAGGAACGTCTTCTGGAAAACGCTTGCGCTCAGCCTTGGCTTACTGTCAGCTATAGCCGGGTATATGCAGGGTAAAAAAAAACAGAGCCTGAAAAGATCCCACCCCAAAATTTCATATGGTTATCTTTGAATAGGGGAGTCTTGAGTAATATTTTTTCCTTGTTCTGTTTTCAGAATTTTTATGAGACTAAACATTTTCTTTGTGAAACGGTTGGCCTCTCCCTGCTCCCCTTCTGCTAGTTAGTTATTGCCTCTCACGCACTGATATGAGGCCAAGGCTGGCCCAGAGTGCAGGAGAAAGCCATGATTTCAGCCGCTTTGCTCTTTACGAGCAGGTAAATCATCTCACCAGCCTCGTTTCTGAAGCTTCTTTCTTTTGTTACGTTCCTACGTTTTGCCTCTCTGAAGCCAATTCCACATATCTTTTTTATGACTATAAAATCTAGTTTTTAGAAACAAAACACATTCGAACTTGACTCTCTCTAGTCCTGATGGACGTACCATCTCTTTTCTGTTAACATAATTTCTTGATAAATGAGTCGCAGATGAAAAATGTTCTTCCTCTCCATCATTGCTAAACGTGGGAATAATTAAAATTCAAATAACCATAAAAGAGTTTGCCTTTAATGATAGCATCTTTACATGTGTAACATCTTAACAGCTTAAAAACCTCATTAGACATCCTCTCATACACAAAGCCTATTTGCTGGAAAATATTTCTGAATAAATTTTGCTTATCTTCCTTTTATAGTAAGATGTTATTACTCAGTAATAATATGCAGCACAACTTCATGATGGTGATCGTTGTTTTATCTTTGTAATTACAGACATATCAAGTGGATCTGAAGCCCAATGGGTCAGAAATAATGGTTACAAATGAAAACAAAAGGGAATATATTGAGTACGTATACACATATTTACAACTTTTATTAAATTGAACGGCATGTTGGGTTGACGTCCCTTGCCTTTTAAAACAGTTCACGCATATAACGGACATAGTTTCAGCAATTTGAGTTCCGTTCTGACTCGTGCTAGTAGGAAGTTGAATTATGGGATGGAAGGTTTGACTTGTATCATGACTTCAGTGAGCTGCCGTATAAAGCAGCCGTGGAAGGAGAAAAAGGTGTTCATCATCGAGAAACATGGCAGATGCTCTTTTGGGGTATGAGACTATCCAGTCTAAAACTGAGAACTGCAGTCATGGAACACAGCGTCAAAGCACAGTGGGGTAAAATTGGGAGCAACTAAAGATAAAATACTTTTATCCCTCTCCTGATTTCTTTTCCGTAATGAAAATGTAGGGGAATCGTGAAAATGGATAGGAAAATTGAATGCACATGCAAACGTAATGAATTGTTTCTGATATTTGTAATTTTTTTTAACCCAGTCTCAACCTCAGTCGGTGGAACAAAAGGTTGAGTGCTTTGGAAGTCCACCTGTTGACTAATCCTAGGGCCTTTATTTATACTGGGCAGAAGCTCTTTCTCTGCTGGGCATGTCACATTTTTCTTCTTGGGCATACACGTATGCTTCAAGCACACAATTGTGGGATTTTCCAAGGATTCGGGTGGCCCGCATGGCCCTGGTGCGGGGACCAGGTCAGTGCAGCAGTGTTTGGGGCCCGTGGCCTGAGCAGGTTGTTCACGTTCAGCGGACAAACTCCTTTTCAACGTGCTGGGTGCTCTCCTCTCTTCTCAACATAATCAGGCAGGAGGACTTAATGCAAAGAATTGGCCAGGGGTCTTGGTATCTTTGGGTGTGATCTGCGAAGGAAAACCCACTGTCTTTCCTAATAAGGAAGAAATGGAGAGTGTTGGAGTCTCTACTTGAGACCCTGACAAAGTATGGACTGTTACATAGCAGACTTCTGCTAAATTCCCGAGTTAAAAGCTCGCTAAGCTTAATAAAAATCTAGAAGCAAGATACTACCGTTCTTACCTGTTCACAGTAATTGAAACTTGTTTTGAACTTGGACAGACTCAGCAGGCAGACATCAGCCTGGCAGACACCACTGTCTTTATATGGAAAGTACAGACTTTGAACAGATTTTAAATCCACTCCACCCCAGGGTGACTAGGGTCGAAAGTCTCAAGATTCAGACATTGTGATGTGTTGTGTGCATCCTTCTTTGCAGTTATTTCTTTTAGGTATCAGGTTTGGTGGGTGTGGGATTAGGCAGAGTTTCAACTAGCTTCACTGAAAAAAAAGGGTGATTGAAATCTCTACCTGCTCCCTGACCCCTGTATTTCTCTGGTGCAAGAAGAAGGCTGATGATTGCAGCTCAGTGCAGTAAAGCCTGACATGGCCCAGTAGTGGTTATGAGTAGGGCTGGTCCTCAAGGGCCATTGCCATGGTACACCTTGTAGGTCACAGCTCTTTATGACAAAGTCCTTGTCCTCTTTCATGACAAAACACTTTCAGTGGAATCCAAAGTTGATTCACCCAGCAGTAAATTCTGCTTTACATCAGACACTGTCACAGGGAAAAATGGTTTCCGTAGATTTCTGTTGCCTAAAGAGGTCTTACCATTAATCCTTCAAATTCTGGTGGTGAAGTACTCATGTCAGTCATTTTGCTGATAAATTATAAGTCATTGTTTAAAATCAGTGGATACTAGAATGAAATATATGACAAAATATGTTGTACTAAATAGTCCCTTTACAAATATATGTACGTATTTGTACATATGTGGATGTGTATGTATGTGAGTTTGTACACACATTATTCACACGTAGATGTGTATTCATACCCCAGGACCTTTCCCCTTTTCTCCATGTAGTCACTTTATAGAGCAACTTTGATAAAATAAGGCTGGAGCTGAGAGAAGAAGGAAATTAACTATTCTTTTGAAATCCTCAGTGAGATTTCAGATTTTTCACATCCATTCCACTTACTCTCGAAAGAATTCATGAATAAACAGCATGTGCCCTCGGGTCCCGCCCCCCGCCCCACCTTGCCTTTGCCGATATAGAGATTTCTGTCCCCTGTCTGATGAGAAGCAATCACAGTCGTCAAGACATGAGCGCCAGTGATGACGAAGGTGGTTAACATGCTGTTCCGTTTTCTCCTGCAGCTTAGTCATCCAATGGAGGTTTGTGAACAGGGTCCAGAAGCAAATGAACGCCTTCCTGGAGGTGAGCTGTGCCTACCAGGGTCGTCTGCTTGCGCCTTTTAGCCCCAGGTTGAGAGAGAATGGCTTTGCTCCTTGGGGTGGTGTGGCGGGAACAATCACACAGCGAGACGGGCACGGTGTGGGGACCACAGCACAGAGATCGGGACCGTCCGCTCACACGGTCAAACCATCTCTAGGACAGGCGCGTTCAGCCACTGCCCTGCCACCCTCTCATCTGCTTTCGTTTGTTTAGTGTCCTCTTGCTTTGCTGCTCTTATTTTTAAATTTGCCTTCACTGTTTGGAAAGAGAACTTTTTACAAGCTTGATCGGGGAGAGCAAGCGTCCCCACAGAGGCTAGACCCGCAGTCCTGCTGTTTCGGGCGGTACCCAAGCGAAGGCTGGGAGACACATCTCTGCCTTTTGCTGTGATGACAGGTCCTCAGAAACCAGAAGGCTTGGGGACCGAACAGTGTAAAACAGTCTCCAGTCACGTCGCCCCTTTCTTCACAGCTCCTCAGACACGTCTCTCCTCTGCACGCATGTGGGAAACACATTTTCCCAGGCTGGGTTTTCATCTCATGCCAAGCCACCTGTGCCAACTTCCACCCTATTAAAGGCAAAGCAGGCCCTTCTCAGACCCAAGGATTTCATGTCCGTGATGCTCCAGGCCCCTTATGGGAGGCTCCTAGCGGAGAGTGGAGAGGAGGGAAGCGGTTCATGATTTATCCCATTTCCCGTTTGCCCCGGGAATACTCGTCAGCGGTGCTGTGGCTACAGCATTTACCCCGAGATAACTCGGAGATTATAGTCCTAACCTCACCCACAAAGTTTGCCACAAAATATCTCGCTCTTATTTTTTGCATTGCTCTAATATATCGATAGTCTTTGGAAACAAATGACCTCATTCTCTCTATAGCATTCTGATTTTAGTAGTGGTATTTCCATTTACAAAATACGGTAATCCTCGATCGCTGAAAATGTCAGATCCTAGAGAACACAGCATTCCTACGCATGATATCAAATGAACACTGGCAGCGAGCTGCATTTTTTTTTTTCTAAGCAGGAAAAGGGTTAAAAAAAAGGTTCGCTTTGATCAAAAGTGATCTTAAATCTTGATAATAGGTAGTAGTCACTTAAAGCGAACGAGCCCCAAGGGCGTGTTCTAAATCTCCGCAGAACCGAGGCAGAGTTCTCGTCGGCACCACTCCTGAGCTGACCCCGGCTCAGCCACCTACACACGGTGAAAAAGCTCCCACCCCGGACAGAACGTTCAAAAGTGTTCAGGGCGTAGGAGCGTAAAATATCCGTTGGGGCCCTTGAGAACACTCTAGTAAGAAACCCAGGAAGCAGACCCCGGTCCCCACCCCAGGTGATGCACCCGTACTTCCAGAAGCCCACCCCATGCCAGGTGCAGGGCGTAGAGGGTCTCGTCCTGCATCACTCACTGGTGACCAGAGCCAGGAGCTGGAGCAGGTTCCCGGTTCCAGTCTCCTCTGTGCCCAGCACACTGCCTCTGTTTCTGTTTCTTCTAGATGCCTTCAGTACCCGATGTTTGTACTTTCTTCCCTTGCTCGTCTGTGGCTTGTGTATTTTAGGACGCCCTGACTCACAGCAATGTGTCATAAATGGCTTTGGAATCCGCCTGCCTACAGTAACCCATGTTTTCATAGGCTCTCAAAAAATACTCAAATACCTGAGACTTCGAGATTTCTACTCTTTTTCGAATTGTTTTATATTGTGACTGTGCTGTTTTTAGAGGAACAACTACTGGCCACTGTCCCTGATATGTAAATCGTTAGTAAAGAGTGTATTTTTTCTTGGCTAGTGAAAAAAGTTTGTTTTTCCTATAACATTTGTCTCTTTCAAGGAAAAGAGTATTTAGGGTGGTTTTGCTTTTTTTCTTTCAGGGATTCACCGAACTGCTTCCTATTGATTTGATTAAAATTTTTGATGAAAATGAGCTGGAGGTTTGTATTGTGACCATTTTGTATAAAGTAGATTTTTTTAAAACTTTCCCATTACTTTACATGTGATATTTTAATATTCTCTGGGGCACTTCTCGTAGCTTAGGTGACTTCTACTACAGATCTTTTAAGAGGCTCGTTTGTTTGCTCTCCTGAGAGTCAGGAAGTAGCACAAGTCGTCACCTGTAGATTCCTTGCCCAGGAGAGGACAGTTCTGGGACATGCCGGACAAGTAGAGGCCCACTTAGCTAGCTGAATTGGGTTCATGGCCCGTTGCTCCAAAAGCAAAGGACTGTGTCACCCTTCGTCACATTGAGAGAAACAGAACAAGGAAGGCTGTCAGCGGGACTCAATTAGCCATTCACCCAAGCCCCATCCAGCGAGGCACTTCTCGTAGACTGGCTTTCTGTTCTTTCATCTTAACATGGAAACTTCAAGATAGTCGAAGTCCTAGAAATCACATAGTATAAGCTTTTCATTGGACAGGTGGGGAAACTGAGGCAGGGAGCAGTTCATGACCCCGCAGGTTTACTCAACAGGGTTTTGGCACAGTTAGGCCTAACACTCTGGTTCTCAGGCTTATGGCTTAGTTCTCCTTCCTTTTCACTGTGGTACCTCTGCAGGAATGTCGTGTTCATTTGTCCACAGGAAACCTTCCCTCATGGAAGGTTAGATACTAAGGAAGGCAGACCTCAGGCTAACCGCTAAGACAAAGAGCCGGTTACAGCATTAGTACAGGTCTGCATCCACGGGCCTCCGAACGGATGGGTGGTTTGCCCTCACCCAGGTCGATAGATCTGGGGAAGATAAGTTCTTGCTGTCATAACGTGCTGATTCTTTGTGAGTGGGAAGCTATTTTCAAAGATTGAGACAAATAACCTCTCAGAAGGGGAAACAGCCAGGGTGATGAGCGGATGTAAATGGAGCATAAGGAAATCTAGGAGCACCGTCTTCCGCTTGCAGGAGGAGGGAAGATGGTTGATCTAGAGGCTTAATTTCCAATATGAAATGTGGCCTGCATAAGCATTACACTTGGGCCCCTCTCGTTGGGTCCCCCTTGACCTGTGTTGGCAGGTAAAATTTGAGACACGTATTCCCTTCATTTGTTGTTTTATGAGTTGCCAGCTTACCGGCTTTGCACACGACCAAGTGCTGGTGCTGACATGAAGCCATCTCTTTGGCGTCCACACCAGGCCCCGTTTACATCTGGTCACTCTCCTTTCTAGTTGCTGATGTGCGGCCTCGGCGATGTGGACGTGAATGACTGGAGACAACATTCTATTTACAAGAACGGCTACTGCCCGAACCACCCTGTCATTCAGTGGTTCTGGAAGGTAAGGCCTGGGCCCCCAGGGCCCTGCTGCTCCAATGGCTCAGGCCGGGAGCGGGAGCGGGAGCGGGGCGGCTTCTGTGCCGAACTTCGCGTGGTCTTGCTTGAGTCCAGCTGCTGGAACTTAGGACCTGGGTTGCTGGGGCAGAGAAGAGGCAGACTTGAACCAGAAACAGCCCTTCCTGCCATATTCCTCCGTAACTCCAGTGGACAACCGTCTTTGAATAAGGTTGATTCTCATCAAAGCACATGGCCTTTCCTTGACCACCAATTAAAGCGGCTCCTATTTGAGGAACCGTTGAGTAGACTGATTCTGAAAAGGAGGCCATGGCATTCAAGAGTTGGAACTAGTCCTCCAAAGCGTAAATACGATGGGAGGTTTCTCAGGGCGAAAACGTGCTTTGGGGCTGACTTTTCCAAGATGTCATGTTTGGTTAAAAAATCGTTTTCTCAATTTTTTTTGTTGTTGTTTATGCTGACACACATTTTGATCTTTTCTGTCTTTCAATCAAAGATGGCTACACATGAAATTTGATTTACTCTCTTAAGGCCAGTGTTCGCATTCTGTTTGGCTTACGAGAAAAGTGAAGTAGGAACTGAGTGAGTCCAAGGAGGAGATAGTAAACTAACTTTAAAAGAACAATCACAGAAAAAAAGCTGATTATTTCTTTTATAGAAATAAGGAATCATAACACTTTTTAAAATTTCTAAATGTTACTATATTGATATCCATTCTAAATGTTAATGTGAATTTAATATTTCAGGTGCCAGCAGACATAGAGATAAAAAGAAAGAAGCAGAATCTTAAATCCTAGTCCAAGTCTCACTCAGTTTTGATTTTAGATGTTTTTTCTATAGCAGTTCAAGTGACCTTACCAGTAAAGCCAACTCAATTCTTGTACTAATTCAGATGTGTAAGATATACGGATTATTTTGAGGCCTATCCTTGCCTCTGTTTTTTTGTTTGTTTGTTTTTTTGTTTTGTTTTTTTTTGTTTTTTTTTTGTTTTTTTTGCTTTTTATAAAACATTGTCTTTAGAGGATCTGTCTACAGCCTGAAATCCCATCTCCTAACCTGGTGTTGACACTTCTCGAGCTCTGTGTGTTTATAATTGGCTCGGAGAAACTGGCGAGCCTCACACACAGACTCTTGAGCTTGGTGCCATCAAAGAGTTTGCTTTTTATATCATTTATTTTGACTATTGGCAGAAGAAGAAAGAGACACTGTGTGATCTCTTTCTCTCAGATTAGAGAGAGGCCAGTATCGTGGTGACCATAAAAAAAAAAAAAAAATGACCATTTTCAGAGTCAACTGTCTAGATCTTCCACTGTGGGATAAATAAGGTTACGTTTGCTTGTCTGCATTACAGCAGCGTGCGCCAAATGTCACGTGGCGACATAATGACCTTCTGCCTCCGTTTATAGGCTGTGCTGCTGATGGACGCCGAGAAGCGTATCCGGTTACTGCAGTTTGTCACAGGGACATCCCGAGTACCTATGAATGGATTTGCCGAACTTTATGGTGAGCAAGATACTATCAGTCTTGTTTGGTTTTTTTGTTTGTTTTGTTTTGATCTATTCTTTAAAAACTAGATTTTGCAGAATCATCCATGTGATTCTAAACTGAATGTTTTAAAGACTTCTCACCTCCAGGAAGCAGAATTCTTCAATCCTTATTATAGATGTAAAACATCCCTTTTTCAAAGGCCTCTGCTTTTTAAAGGTCACATTTCATTTTTTTTCCCCCAAAAGTAGTTTCAAATGTAAACTCCCAAGGTTCAGCTGCAGGCTGTAGCTGTCTGCACCTCCGTGTGCAGCTGTGTCTGTTAAGCTTGGCTCAGTTTCCTTCGGAAGGTGAGCCAGAGTCTGTCGTGAGGCTGTGCAAACACATTTTCCCCATCGTTAAATAGTAAATTCTGTGCCGCAGCCCTCGAGGGTGCCTGGGCTCCCCGAGCACCCCGCCCACCCCCTTCCTTTTCCTTAACTCGCTCCTGCCTCAAGCGCTCTCAGCTTTGGTTTTTCTTTCTTTGTCTAGGTTCCAATGGTCCTCAGCTGTTTACAATAGAGCAATGGGGGAGTCCCGAAAAACTGCCCCGAGCTCACACGTGGTGAGTGACGAAAATGCACAGTTGTCAACAAACCGTATTTTAAATACTTCACTGTGTGCGCGGGTCGGCCGGCAGCTATAGAATGCCACATTCCCTACTCGTAAATAGCTTAGAGTCTGAAATGTCAGTGGTGCAGATGAAAATATAAGTTGTACAGGATGCTGATGAAGGGTGAGGCTTCAAGCTCTGCGTGGACCCAGTACGTGTGGCACGAGGTTAGGCCGGCCATGCTGTGCGGAGTTCCTCTCTCAGCCCCGTCCCTCCCTAAGGACTCCAGGAAGCAGAGATTTCACTCATACCCGCCATGCGTGGGTGTGACAGCTCCCAGACTCTAAACAGATGAGATGTTTATTCCAACCCTAAATTGGCTTTTTAGAACTTGGGATAAAATTCTCTGTAGAAGCATTGTTTTTAAAAGGCCAAGGCCATTGATAACTCCTAAGTCTCTAGAATTTGGTACCAATATGATTGTGGCCAGAGGAGGGTGCGAGGTCTGACATGGGACCACGGCCCAGGGGGACAAGGTGGCACATGGTGGCCTCCAAGGTGCAGGGTCTCCAGTTTCTCTGAGAAGTTACGTAAAGCCAGCACAAGGATGAGCCTGGCCGCTCAGGGCCCTCTGGCTGCTCCGAGCTGCAGTGTCCCTCATGTTGGTTTTCCCCACCGGCTTTAATTTCTCGCTCTCAGGAAGCGAATGGAAGTGGCCCCTCCGAAAATGGTGAGCCACGCACACAGCCCACCTTTCCCCGCGAGCAGCGAGGGCTTCCGCAGCCCACCCTGGCCTTCCCGCGCTGCACGGGGCCACTGAGCGTGTCTGGCAGCAACGTGAACTGCCAGCTCGGGGAGGGTTCTCGTGAAAGTGTGCATGTGAAAAATGGGCTGTGAGAGGTTTTTTGCTTCTGTTCGATTCCCTCGCTGGAAGGAAAGTTTTTTCCTCCACGCCCCCCACCCCCCGCATGTGTGCCATTTGCGTGACTCTGAATGGAATGTAAATATGGTCATTGCCCATCAGACCCTTGGAAGCATGCCAACTCCAGCTAACGTTGGCGAATACCCAAAACAGTCATTGTCTGGGATTCTCTGCCTTTATTCTAGGGAAGAATGTTTTGGTAGTTAGGAGCTTTTATTCCAAACAATCCCAGGGTCGAATGTAATTTTTCTGGGTTGTGATGGCCTTTGTTGGAAAAACAGCCAGCACTGAGCCCGAGCCCAGGACTGCTGTGGATTGACAGAAAACTCTCAAGCTCACAGTCTAATAATGAGAAATTGGAGTAAGAGCCGAGTCACCGGGCACAGCCCTCGCCCGTGGGCCGGGCACCCTCTAATAGTTATGGCAGCATAACTATGTTTTCTCTGCCGCGTGGCTTTCTTTCCAGCCAGTCCCCGGACCTGCCATAACACAGGAGACAGCGGCTTTGCTGGCTGCTTCCTCGCAATAGTTCCCCCATCAGATTTAGCCACGTTGATGTTTAATTCCTTTTATGGTTTATGGAAATATAAAATATACAGTTAAAAATGCAAACCTGCTTTATCAGGAGAGCAAGAGCTGGGTGAGCTGGTTCTTTCCGAAGCGTGCTTTTCGTAAACCTCCCAGATGGGATTATTGCGTGTCTGATATTTAAAGGGCTTTGTTTTGTTGTTCTGGCAAAGGCCACTGCTTGAATATGTAAAATTTCACTTTACTGAGAATCAAAGACTTACTTGCTCTCTGAGGCCGACTCTAAAAATAATCTCGTTCGGCCCACGCATCATCCACCTGAAGACGCTGAAGCCCGCTGAGGACAATGAGGTCACACAGTTAGTGACAGACCAGAGCCAGGCCCCTGCCCCCTGACCTCAGAAGTAACAGTGACTAACACTTTTTAAGCATTTAAAGTGTTCCTGGCATTGTCCTAGGTGCTTTGTGTGTTTTAACTCGTATCATCGCCATAGCAATTCTAAAGAGCGAGTCCTATTAAAGGGGAAGAAAATGTATCACCAGACGCCACAGAGATTGCAGGCCCTGGACTGTGAAATGCCAACTTAAAATTAAGACCGGAGCCACCTCTGTGAACAGCTCTTTTAAGTGCAGTCTGCAAACATGAAGTTCTGTCTTTTTAATTGGTAAAAGAATATTCAAGGTCATTTTAATGAAATGAAATGAAAACCAAAAATGAGAAATTTTTTTAGGCTTATTTTAGGATTCTGGGTTTCTGAGAGCTCTAGTTGTAGAGGCGGTGTTATTCTCTGCTGTGTCTTTTAATGTTTAGTGACTTAAAACAATCTGAGAGCTCAGTGTGCCTTATTCAACATTTTAGGGCCCACTGTGGACGCGTGTCTGTTTTTCACTGCTGCTCTGCTAACCGTTAGCCCTTAAAGCTTGGAATCATGTCAGTGCCTGGAGAGAACAGTTTTAAATGCTGAGGCACAACACACAAAGTGGTTAGACTTGGGCTTTGGAGCCAGACCAGGGCTGAGTCCTGGCTGTATCGCTTTCTGTGTGACCTTAGGCAAGTTACCTAATCCCTCTGTGCCTCGAATTCCTCCTTTATAAAATAGAGGTGAATCATTACCTGCCTTGTAAGATGAGTGCTAGGATTTACTGAGGTAATAAATGAAAAGTACTTAATGCTGACTGCACGGGGTAAATGCTCCCTGAGCATTAGCTCTTATTAAATCATGAGCTGTGGCAAGAGGGTGTGGCCATTTTCATGACATACATGTCAACAGTCCACCCCCCGCCAGGCATCAGTTCTGTGAGCGGGGGCTCCAACTCCTTGCACCCCACACGTCACTCTGTGAATACAGGCAAATGAGTGATAATGGCGGTCACCATCTTTGGGCATTTGCCGTGTGCCAGGCACACTTTAAATATGTTCTCATTTGACCCTTTCAGTACCCTGTGAGCTGTTTCCCCACTTCACAGATGCACAGACTCAGAAAAGGAGGCGACTTGCCCAAGGTCACACAGCTGGCACGTGGCCAAGCCAGAATTTGAACTTGGTCTCTTAGACGAGTGTGCTTCGTCTGTCTGAAGGCCTCACTCCCACCAGGGTGATTCGTAACGGCCCAAACGAAACGAAGCCTGCAGATCTTTAGGGACTTTTTTCAAATGCAGCTTCTCATTCCAAATGTCGATTGCTTTCCTGACTTTGAGAGGAGAAGGCAGCTGCTTACTTAGCATTGGGGTTCTGGAGCCACAGCCCGCCTGGTTCTAGTCTGGAGCCTTCCTTGCTCCCAGGGGTGAGACCCGCATCTGCAGAACAGAGAAAGCGTTGGAAACACGATGAGTTACTGCGTAGAAAAGCACTTGGCTCGGGGCCCGATGCAGAAGTGAGGGCGTTAGAGCTGCCACAGCCTCGGTTCGCCCGATTCTCCCGGAGCTCCTACTGCACAAATTCTTTTGTGTTTCAGGGGTTTTGAAGTCTTGGAGTATATGTCAGCTACCTTGATGTGAACAGTTTCAAAGCAGGAATTTATTTTTTTTTTGATCATCAGAATTGGATTAAGACATATACACACACTCGCTCCAACCCCAGACGCCCCCCTTAGCCAAATCTAGGAAATGCTGTCATACCTAACGGTTCATAACGATGGCGTTTTACCTACACCTTTGTTACCATTGCAGCTTTAATCGCCTCGACTTACCTCCGTACGAAACCTTCGAAGATTTACGAGAGAAACTTCTCATGGCCGTGGAAAATGCGCAAGGCTTCGAGGGGGTGGATTAAGCGCCCCCAGCCCCGGGTGGTTGTCCGCGGAGCAAGTCCTGCTTGCATTTGCCTAATAGACTTTGAAGAGATGGTGGCAGAAGATCAGCTGCACAGCGTGGCTCCTGGAGCGGAGCCTTCGCCCGTGACTTGCCCAAGTTCAGACGTGCGAACCCGGTCCCAGGTCGCGTTCTTGCATTTTCCACCGCAAATTATCAGCTGGTTGATGTGCACACTAATTACATTTCAGGAGGACTTATTCTATTTATGTTGTGCCTCTGCAGGCAAAGCCCTTAATAAATATTTTACATACTTTATAATGACAATGAATGGAATTAATCACTCTACAGGTATAGTATTACAACTCATGTTTACTTTTTCAAATGATTTAGACCGATTTTCCGATTTCATTTCATTACAATTAAAGATGTCTCATGTACGTGGAAAAATGAGCTTTTTTTTTTTTTTGTATTTGAATTTCATACCAGGTGTAATGTTTGTGACTTTTTTATTTTCGAAGTACTTCGACACCCCTACCGTCTACTTTATTAGAATTAGAAGACGGATTTTGCCCAAAAAACCTTAACAGACGAGTACTTTGAGAGAACTTAAAATATAACATTAAACGTAATGATAATTTTTTCCATACTCAGAATGAAAACAAACTGGATATTACTTTTTTTTTTTTTTTTTTT